GTGCCGCTCCTGTGCTCTGTTTACCCGGCTTCACGCTGTCAGCGCTTTAGTCGGACTTGCAAACCTCCGGCTTGTGCGAACGGGGACGCGTGAATCACACTGTGGTGCCGGGTGTTTGCTGGTGAATGGAACTTGGCACTTGGCCACTTATTTCCCTGGTTACAATTTTCTCTTCAGGCTACTTGTAACTGGTTCGATTTCATGCTAGTTTCATAAACGGTTTGGGCTGGAAGGGACCTCAAAACTCACCTCGGACTTGCAAACCTCCGGCTTGTGCGAACGGGGACGCGTGAATCACACTGTGGTGCCGGGTGTTTGCTGGTGAATGGAACTTGGCACTTGGCCACTTATTTCCCTGGTTACAATTTTCTCTTCAGGCTACTTGTAACTGGTTCGATTTCATGCTAGTTTCATAAACGGTTTGGGCTGGAAGGGACCTCAAAACTCACCCAGCTCCAACCCCTGCCACGGGCAGGGACACCTTCCACTAGAGCAGGTTGCTCCAAGCCCCTGTGTCCAACCTGGCCTTGAACACTGCCAGGGCTGGGGCAGCCACAGCTTCTCTGGGCACCCTGTGCCAGAGAAGATCTAATTTAAATCTCCCCTCTCTCCGTGTGTCTTTGTTGGTTGCCAGAACGTTGACAGTTTCTTAAACAAACAATAAATTCTTTTTTTAAAATTGGGGCACAAAATGCTTCTCTTGATTTTTTGTTATTATTTTTTTAATTAAAATTTTTAAGATAACTCTTCTAAGGGACGTTCCTGGAATTTACACACTGCTCAGTTTGGTGTCTAAATTGTTTTGCCTTTTGACTTCAAGAAAGAGCAAACTTCAAATCACAGGAAGTCCCATGAATTCCAAGTGAAACCATTTTTACACAGTGCACTGAATTTGCTCTAATTCCAGCACTATGAATGATCGATTTTGATTTGATTAATCAACATTCAAACCAGATCCTCACACACAGGCTCTTGATAAATAGAAATGTGCTTATTGTGATATAGGTACTTAGCAAATATTTCACAATAATAATATAAAAACACACGTGGCATTTTGACCAGTTATTTCCCCTCATTATACCACAATGGAAGAACAATCCTGTGAAAAAGGGGTTTTAAGTCTCCAAAAAGGTTTTTGCCAACTAAGCAAGATAAAGAGGGAAAAAACCCCAAACTCGGATGTTTTATGTTCATGTGAAGCTGAAAGGACGCTGATCGGGCAGCATTCAGGACTGGGTGGGTTGGAAGGATACAAGAGGAATTACCTGGAGGTTGTTCAGGGTTGAAACGCTCACGTAACTTGCACCAGGGCTGAAAAATCAGTTGCTGCTCATGTCCTAGATCTCTTAATGTGCACATGTGCTTGAGACTGGTTTCTCTTAGCTGTTCAACAATCTGGATTTGCTGAGAAGACAAGTTTGCTTCACAACTGATTTCTAATGTTTGATAATATTTTTAGCTCACTAATCTAAAGAATTTGCATAGAATCTCTTACAGTACATTTGTCAGTAGCAGAGTGTTTGTAGAATGAATTCACAAGTACCCTGGGGGGAAGGGAAGGTCACACATGGTCTCATAGCACTGCGCAGAAAGAGGGAACCTGCTGCTATACATAGTTAGTAAATGTTCATGCAAACCCTATTGAATCTTCTTAGAATATAAGACGACATAGATATATATAACTTCAAGTATAGATGCAGGTTCAGAGAGAGCAAGAAAATATCTATCTGTATTGCAACTATATGAAGTAGGTGATGAATATGATGGGTTGGAACTAGATCATCTTTAAGGTCCTTTCCAACCAAAATCATTCTATGACAATACAAAAATGTATATGTTCTCCTGGCATCTTGGCCCTGTAGCCTTCTACCACAGGACTGCAAGTAGCGCTGTGCAGCAGCGGGGCTGTGAGCTCTCACTCCAGCCATTCGAATCCACTGCCTGTTGTTAATGCGGCGTTATTCCCTAAGGTTTATTTTTGGCATGTCTTGTCTAGCTTAGCTTCAAGTGACTGAGATTAGTGGGTTTCCATTGTCCATGTCCCTTTACTTTGACTACATCACCTTTGCTTTAGAGCTGAGGGAGTGCTCTCTGCAAGATCACAAGCTCTCGGTTGGTCTGTTCCATACCAGCAGCAGCATTTCTTTCAGCAATGGTTTGTGAGAGGTTTTGTGACGTATCAACCTGCTGCAGGCTCTCCCCTGCAGTGAAAGGGACAGAAAAGTCGTTGTTAGAAGTGATAAAATAGTCTAACACAACGTGTGCTGTGGTTAAGGTTCTCCCCGCATTCTCCCAGGGCACACCCCGAAACTCACCACATGAGTTGCTGTCTCAGGTTAATGGAGCACTGCTCAGGAGGTGGACTGAGGCCACCTGCTCTAGTGGAAGGTGTCCCTGCCCATGGCAGGGGCTTGGAATTGGATGAGCTTTAAGGTCCCTTCAACCCAAACCATACTATGATTCTCTGCTAATGCTGTTAACGGCTTCTCTGCTCACCGCATTCAGCAACATCTCATTCCAGTGGGATCGGCTGTTCCACAGGGAATGAGGCCTCTGCAGACTTTCAGATGTCTTTGTTAGACAATCCGACATATTCAGATACCTCAGACCTTGCTGTTATTCTTGGACTTGTTCTAACAATACTGTCCATAGGGCAGATACCTTGAAACAAGCTGATTTGTGGTGGAAGAGCAGCTGGCTGCTCTCAGGTCTTCTTTGACTACACCAACATTTCCCATTGCAAACCCACCCATACTATGGACATTATACACCCTACTCACCACTTCCCCTTCGTGCTGCCAGATATTCTTTTTGTTCTTCTGAAATGTTCTCCTGATGATTTACTTGGCACTATCCCACTAGTGCCAAGGTACCCATTGCTTCTGGAGCTCCTGAAAAGATGGTGCATGGAGGCATCGATGTTTCCTGTTCTGCTCATCACTGTGGCGTAGCCTTTCCAAATTTATTAGTTGGTTGTTGCTTTTCCTATTCTAAATGCTTAAAAATCCCTGCGTGGTTTGTTTCTAATGAAAACTGTGAACCCTGAGCTAATAAACGTGATGTTGTCCTTATTTCCAAGGTAAGAGGGAAAGAGGCTGGCAGGGTGGTA